AAAGTATTATGAATCAACTTCATAATATTCACAGTGTTCTATGTCTAATTCAGCCTTAATTGCACACTGTCCATTTTTCTGTATATTATACTCTACCCAATCACACACCAAGCTTCATTTTAAAGAAAACAAAAAAAAATTCCCCTGTCCAATCATTTCCAACTCTTAGGGGGTGGTGTTCATCTCCATCTCTTAGCTGAGGGAGCTAACATTGTCCGAAGATACTTCCATGGTCATGTGGCCAGCATAACTATACACCGAAGTGTTGTGGCTCCGATTCCTGAGCCTGTGCTGTTAGAGGAAGAGGACTCGGAAGATGAGGAGGAGGAACTGGGAATGCCTTCCTCCCCAGGACCTTCCTCTCTGGCAATGCCTTCCTCCCTGATAATGCCTCAGGTTTCATCAGACAACCGAGAGGAACAGCCTGAGATTAATCAGGAGGAAGGCATATTGGAGCAGCCCCTGACAGGGAGTCAAGAGGACAAATGTTGGCTTGATCCTAAGCAGCGTCGTAGGAAGAAACATGAGCAGCAACGTAGGAGGCATAGAAGGGTCAGAGAGTGAGCTGAGTCATTGAGCCACACCCCACAGGGGATAAAAGTGGGTGTGTTGTCAGCTGGAACTTTGTACGGGACAAAGTTTAATCTTGCTTCAGGTTTTCTTTGTGAATGATTTTATGGTCTGCCTTGTAATTTTCTGGAAGTAGCTTTTTACTTGTTATCAGTTCGGACTTGGCAGGCAGAGCGTGTTGGAATGCCAAGGACATTATCATTTCCAAAGAATTAACTCTGTGAAGTCCGAGCCAGCTTGCCTGCCTGTGTTTGTGCGAGTTTGTACTCTTTCATCTTTTGAGAAAGAAGAAAGGTGAGGCAGAACACCGAAGTACACGGAACATTGTTATTTTCCCACCAAAGTGGTACCTATTTATCTGCTCATTTGCATACTTTCATATTACTAGCTTGGCAAGAAATGGGCAAGAAATGGAAGCTCACCCTGTCACATGGTGCATGGGTCTCCAACCTGGTCTGTCAGCTTTCCAGCTGACAAGCTCAGCATCTTTAACTGCTGAGCCATCACGGTTAAATATTTTGATATTAAAATACATTTTTGTATATTATTTGCTATCCAATTATGCACCAAGCTTCATTTTAGGTACGATTAAAATTATATTGTTTAATGGCTAAGGAATGGGGGCTAAACCCAGGAGATGATAAGTTCTTGTCCTGCCTTAGGCATGAAGCCAGATGATGTGACTTTGAACTGGTCACTCCTCTCAGCCCTGGGAAAAATGTAGTGGCACACCACTTCCAAAATCTTGCCAAGAAAACAGCAGGCACTAGTCTAGAAACCAACAGGATTAAACAATGAATCAAAAATTAAGTGTAACAATTAATACAATTAATCACCAAGTATGTAATCCTTTTTCTGATTGATATATTTAATATTATATTTCAGTAGGAACTTTGGGGATAATGGCCAAGGTTTGGGATTGGAACTAGATGCACATCATAGTTTTCGGTGTGAATTGGAGCTGCTTGGGACTGAACCTGGACTGATCTACATGCCAAACCAAACAGTTGTCTTGTCATTGACATCTCATGTTTTCCCAAACCCAAGCAATCTTCTGCATGTTCACCAGCAGCCTGTGGGCATAAATGAGGTGAATCTGAATTTTAACTAATTGCACTGAATCAATTTTAATAGGATACATGTTTGAAAGCTTATCCAATACACACATTGTGAAGAAAATGTTGCAGTGCACTTGTGGATTGGTTGACAACACAGATGTACCCACAGCTCTTAATTTAGAAGAAGCAACCCTTCTAAGCATCAGAAAAAATTCCTGTCCACACCAATCTCTTTAGTTATATCAGAATAAGCAGTTGGTCTTGGGAACTCTTCTCTATAGCTCTGCTCAATTCAAGGAATATGCAACTTAAGGGGAAGGTCTCTAATTTTATTCTGTGAACAGATTGAGGGTGGGAACCAAGAAGAACTGACATATTAGAGAGAATATTCCCTGTAGGCCAGGGGTGTGAAACTCACGGTGTCACAGCGGTGTCATGGACTTCCCCCTTCCCTAAACTGGGTGTGGGCGTGGCCAGCACATGATGCATCTGGCCCATGGGTCAGGAGTTTGACAGCCCTGCCTTAGGCCAACTCTCCACCCATAGCCTCCCCACCCACAGGTTTCCAAGAAGTCTTTATAATGACACCAAAATCATAACAGAAAGGAAGAAACTGTGGCAACAAGAGACCAAAATGACAAAATCGGAGTGCCATCCATCATGGTGCATTTGTTCCAGCCTTCTCAATTGCTTAGCCTCTCAAAACACAATGTCTATAATTCCTATCAAACATGGTGGACCTTTCTGTCCCTAGAATATACATGCGTGAGATTAGTTATGGGCTGAAAGAAGATGTCATGTCTTTATATTAAAATTCCCCAGAAGTTCATGCCAAGAAGTGATGAAGCACGTGAGAGTTGCTTCTCACGTCTGTCCTTCCTCTCCTTAAAAAAAAGAGATAAGGTCTTTGCCTTGGAGTTTAATGGCAGTCTTCCACTATCTAGTTTCAGCAAGAGTAAATGAATGGGCAAGGAAAAGGTCAAGGATATGGAGAAAATCTTACTACACAGTTCCTAAAAGTCAACACCAGGTTGATGGCACATAATTATTCAATCAGAACATAGGTCAATTCTGGGTTTCTTAATTCCCAGTTATAACCTTCAAAGGCTGTTTCTCTTTTTTTAAAAAAAAATGATGGAATTGTTCCATGTCTAGTTCAGCCTTAATTGCATATCGTCCGTTTTTCTGTATATTATATGCCATCCAGTCACACACATCGCTTCTCTAAAGCATATTGACCGAATTGAAGGTCACTTTTGAATGTTTTACTGCCAAAACCAACAGTTAGCAGACTTGCAATGAGATGTAGGAGATTCAGAAGTTTTTAAAAAGCAAAACTAGGAATATATTCTTCAAAGGTGAGCTCAGTAATAAAGTCCCGAGAGCAGCCAAGAATAATTAATTACACTCTTCACACACAGAAGGAGAACATGCAAAGAAGGTGTGATAGGGAAAACATTAGTGTTAATCAGGGCAATGGATGTAACATAAAATAATAAAGTATTAATATAAACCTGGGGGTAAGGCCAAGAAAGCTGATTCATAGAATTAAAATTGGTGGAATCAAATCAAACTTTCCAAGGAAATAAATAAATGCAAATGGAATTACTATAAAATGGAAGAGAGAGATGAAAAAGCCCTAAACAATATGACCCTAAGGTAAAAGAGGACACATAACCAAAAACAGATTAGTATTTCCTTGAAAAGAATGGATATAATCATTTATTGCTACGATACAGTATAGAAGTTTGTTCTTTTGTTCAGTTAATGCCAGGGGAACAGAAGGGAAGTTTAGAATTGCAGAAACATGGAGGAACCAGTGTTACCAAACCTTTAAAAAACCTATCTACCCGGAGGTGGTATTCAGCAGGTTCTGACCAGTGCTAGAGAACCAGTAGCGGAAATTTTGAGTAGTTCAGAATACCCCCTCTGACTGGCCCCGCCCCCATCTATTCTCTGCCTCCCGAGTCCCAGCTGATCGGCTGGGTCTTCTTTTGTTGCCCTGCACAGGAGAAAGGAGCTGGAAAGCAGGTTAGTGGGGTGGGGAGAGAATGGGGATTTTACAGTATCCTTCCCCTGCCATGCCCACCAAGCCACACCCATGGAACCGGTAGTAAAAAAATTTGAATCTCACCACTGTATCTGCCTTATCTGATGTGTATGCACAGTTTGGGGATTGCATATTAATTATGCTTGATCATTCTCATTCTTATATATAATTTTTAGCCTGAAGACCTCAGGATTTTTAGAGCTTTGATTAGAGGATGAATACAGGAACTGTAGTTCCCTGAATACAGGAACTTTTGCACCTATCTCCAGAGGAAATGCTGGCTGGAGAATTCTGGGAATTGAAATTCACGTTATTTTAAAGTTGCTAAGCTTGAGAAACACTGAACTAAATAAAGGTTCCCCTCCCCCCCCAACTAGCCCCTTCCTCTTCTTTATTACCATTAGCAAGGAAAAGACTGTATGTCCAAACAAAAGGCAGAAGTTAAAATTCATGGGTCAAGAACAAAAATTGAAACAACCTCAAAATAATGGATATATACAACAGAATAGTTTTGTGTCAGGCTATTGCAATAATAAGAACAACTTCCCAACGTCGACATGGAATTTAGCAGAGGGAGAAAAGCAGTAACTGCATCTTGTGATAGGATTCAAAATCATGGGGAAATGGTCAAGTAAGCAGCAATTTTCATTGTCAAAATATATAGAGACTAATTTTAAAATATGTACCAAATTAAGATGAGAAAAAAATTAAACTTGCTAAGAAAAATGGAAATCCTCAAGATGAATTATTTTACCAAAATGTAATTTTCTATCTCAAATTGAAAACAAGGTACAAAATAAGTGGCCAAACAAGTAGGTAATAAACGGTATATTGATCCTATAAAAGACCAAGGATTCAATTCAGTATCCTACAGGATTCAAAATAGTGAATTGGATTGGCAGTTTTGAACATTAAATGATATCCTTGGCTATCTCCATTACTGACATGAGCCAAGAATACAGTGTTGACTCTTCCCTCTTCCCTGTGTACAAATAATGATCCTGACACTTTTGGGCACCAAAGAGAAGCTTGACAAATTTTATTTGTTATTGTGCTTACTCTGTGAAGTGTGTAACTCTGACTCCTTCTTTCAGTAAAAAGGGGAACTACCTTTATTGTACACTAAAAGCAGGAGATTAAAAAGAATTACCAGTGAGGGAAGAGGCCTTCTATTAAGCTACAAAGAGGTGGGACCAAGTCCGTGAGGTAATCTCATCCTGCAAGACCACTGATCAATGCATTATAAAATCCAAGTAGCCATATTTCTTGGGAAGTGGGCTGCTCCTAATTATCATGGAAGGCTGCGAGTAGTTTCCACAACTTCACATGCCTCTGCACAGCTCACACAAAGGCTCCATTGCAATGTCTACTCGAAGGTTCTTATAGACCATCCCCTTCCACGCTCCAGTTTCATTAAATTGTTCCACATCACCACGGGGTGTCACTTTTTGGATTGTGGCAAGAAATGGTACGACCACACTATGCACTATATCAACCCAAAAGCTTGCTATTGCTTTGGTACTGGGAGGCACCTCCACCTTCTTGATTATGATCTCCAGAACTGACCTCACCAGAGAAAAGTTCTGCTGATTGCTCTCTGTGTACTTCACAATGGGTGTTGCATCCTCGATCCTGAAACTGCAAGAAGAAGGCAATCCCAGTCCCCAGAGATGCTTCCAAATCACTCTGTCGGTGGAGTTGGTCACCCAGTTGAGGCCAAAGGTATGCAGGACTGAGTTTGAACTTCTGTTGTAGAAGATGTGTTTATCCACAAAATGACAATGATACTGGATTGGGAAAAGGTCATTCGGGACCACGCTTATGATTTCAAAAGTTGGGAGATCAATATCTCCAATCTGGGGTAGAAAAAGACAGGTCTCATCAGGAAAGAACTTGGCTGCTTCCAGGCCATGGAATTCTCTAAACGTTCTGCACAGAAAGAGACCATTGGAGGCCCGGAAGGCTACCATATTGTCTCTGAAATACACTTCAAAACTCAGGGATGGTTTGGTTGAGTACTGAACAGGTTGGATGGGGAAGATTTTTTCTGAACGTACATCCACTGCAGCAAGAAACAAACCTAGCCAGTTTTTCAACATAACCCTTCCGGATGGTGTTGGAATCAGCCAAAATTTGCTTGACTTTCTCTTTTCAGGTACGCCTTCCACAGCCCAGTGTGAACCATTGCCCAGTGAATCCCAGTACATCTTGTTGTCCATCTGGAAAGCCACCCCTTCATCTGCACCAATGTAGGCTTCAAGTTGGCCCAGGCCTTTCCAGACTTGGAAAGCCATTAACTGAAACAGGAACACAGTGACTTTAATTCAAACATAGGCTTTGATCATCTTGAGAGTATCGCTACCACTCCAGTCTTAAAATCTCTACCAACATGCAACATGCCAATGATATGAAAGTGGTACACATTGGCTTTATCCTGTGGGAAGTGGCATAGGCCAATTGATTTGAATAGGATAGTGTACATTTAAAATTTGTTTCTGACTTCATATGAGCACAGCCTCTGCAATTCATTAAAGCAAGCCAGACATTGGAAGGAACTATGCAAGTCTAAAAAAAATGCTACTAAGTTTAAGAGTGATATTGGGAGACTCCTTAAAGAGCAGCATCCTACTTTCAGGTACATGGGGAAGCTTGATAAAAATTGGGCTGCTTTAATAAATGGCAGAGAAGTGCTATAGTCATACCTGTAGAAGGTTCAAAGCATTTTTAAAACATCTACAGCCATTATGATTTGCAATTGGCACAAAGTTTTTTTTTGTCAGGTTGAAGATCCAAATCTTCCTAACCAGTGCAATATCATTTTGCTTCCAATTGGTTTGATTTTGGTTTGTGAACCCAGCCAATGTTAAGTATGTCAAATCACAGTACAGTGTCTAAATCTAGTTATTTATAGTTCACAACTGATGAACTTTTTTACCCTTTTTTTGACCATCCTTTGACACCAATAGCTCAAAAACCCAGTATCAGTGGGAAACACCCCACCCCCGCCCCCACAAAGCCCCTTGGAATTATGTTTGGCTGATTCATGGAATCCACTTAAGTGAGATGTTTTGATCCATCTTTCAAATACAGAGCTATACTTCAAAGGTATCATTTATTGGAGCAGTTGTCCATCTTTCCCCAAAAGGGACCTAGTGGTTGAAATGATTTGGTCTTTGATGAATGAGGAACTATGAAATGGTTAAGAGTGCAAACTGATAAATCATAATGGGGTGGGGTTGGGTTTTTTTTTTTTTTTTTTGCATAGACTAAATAGTCCAGCTCAGCTAGTCACCAAACTCATGCAGATTCAGGCTTCAGGACAATATCATTACTTTCTTCTTCAACATTCATATGGGTCAAATCTCAAGGCTTCCTTACATTCTATGTAGTCATCCCACTGGTATTTTAAAATGAGTCTTAACAAGGGCCTGTGCCTTCAATAATTTAGCAATGTGGATTCTCACAACTGTCTTTCAGATGCTTACATGATCCTCGGAAGTGCCACAAGCATGTTATGTGGACAGTAAGATGTTACAGGGGTACCTGGCAGACAGGCAACAGCCCATGACTTCTCCATTCCAGTTCCTGCCTACTTGCTTCCTAAGGTACAACTCTTGGCTCCTCCCATCAAGGCTTCAGCCCACACTGAACCCCTCTGTAAAGTGCTAACTCTTATCAAAGCTAACTCTTTTAAAAGTTTTGTGGTCCTTGCAGCAAGTCCCTTCCAAACTAGAAGAAAGGGGGAAAAAAAGAGTACATCACATTCATGTAACAGAGATCACCCACTGGAATTTTTCAGCGATTGAGAAATAGCTGAAAGTCTGGAAAAAGTTTGGCAGTTTGCCACTTGGGCACCCTGAAAACTAGCAGAAATAGGGCAAGCTACCAACAGCTGTCTGTCCTGGAAGGAACAACTATACTTTCCTTCAAAGTATTTTCCTTCAATGTTGGCATAAAAGTGGAATCTCCAGTTCTCTTTTCCCTCTCACTTTTGCCCATTCTTTTTGATTCTTCTGCCTATTGTTTTCTCCTTCCTAGGCAGCTGGACAGCCTCTCCCAAGGGGCCCGTGGAAAGTGTACAAGATTATGGATGCATTTACCTTTCTACATATAAAATAATCTCAGCAATTCATAGGGAATATTAACCTGTTCAGTGGAGATAGGTTTATGCTGGTACAAGTACAGTAACCAAAATGCAATGGAACTCCTTTGCCTTTAAGTATCCCATTACCAATGTTGTTACCCCTACCTCAGTTAGGGCAGGGGTCTTCAAACTTGACAGCTTTAAGACTTGTGGACCTCAACTCCCAGAATTCCTCCTCCTGTCATGTTAGTTCAGGAATTCTGGGAGCTGAAGTTCACAAGTCTTAAAGTTGCCAAGTTTGGAGACCTCTGAGTTAGGGGATGCAATATTTGGATATTTTCACACCACTCAGTAATGTTAGATTATGTGCTCTGCTGTGGAACTCCAGCCAACTAGAGCAGGAAGTAATCTTCAGTGGCTTTTTCCAGAGACGGGGCAAGCTTTTGCTGCCTCTCAGATGTTCTCCAGAAGTACAGAGTAACAGCATTGGAAGAGATCTTGAAGGCCTTCTCGTTCAAGCAGGAAACCCTATACCATTCCAGAGCAACGGCTATCCAATTTCTTTCAGTGATGGTGTGAAACGAGGCAGGAAGTCTTTGAGTTTCAGCAAGGAGCCAAACCTCACACTTCTATTCCACATTCATACAGGTGGAAGAGTATCAGAAGAATGTGTGATTACTACAATATTAAGGTCATCTCCTAGGCCCCTTTAAAATGAACTACACATCTAAAGCAGGTTTTAAAGAAGTGGGGGGGAACTACACTCAGAAATCTAAAACAGGATTCACGTACTAGGCTGAGCCACTATTTAAGTACTACTATTAGAAGGGTTTTCCTCAAGAGACTCTAGTTTGCAAAGCACAATAGTCAAGTTCACATTCCACACTAAGCTAAAACCTGGTTTAGCCTAAAACAGAGTCAAAGAAAGAAAGAAAAACACTCCATCCCCTCATAAAAATACTTACCACCAAAAAATCTGCCACAAGGTGAGTCCTGAGAAGAGGGGGAAAAAAAGAATAGGTATTCTTGCTCCAGTTGGCCTTCATATATGCCTGGCTCAGTGTATCTACCAATCGAAGGCCAGCATGGGCCATTGCTAATTGATTGCAAGTGAGGTGATTATCTTCCAGTGCACTGAATAAAAGGGACAACAATCCTAAAGGGTGGGAGACATTTTCCTTAGAAGTCACTGCTTTGCTACAGGAGCCACCATATCTTCTTGAAGATAAAATAGTCCTTTCATCCTTCTTAGAAGTTTCTAAACTATTAAACAAGGTCATTCTTTCAAGCTTCATTGCTAGGACAGATGCATCCAGGGAATGATACAGTTCAATGAAACCCTTCTAACTGACACCCCCAAACTAGATTTTAAATGAATTTTTCTATAAGGTGGGTTCTCTATTGCTGTAGCTTTTTTTAAGACTTGTGGTTTGCTGACTAACCCAGAATGACTGGGATTATGCATCATGTTCAGGCATGCATCAGGACTGGCCAACCACAATGGCTTGAGTTCACATTGCTAAACCACCATTGAGTGAAATGCATTAAACTTAATGCAATGAGCATGACTTGAGGTTTGCACTATGCAATCAGTAATAAAACCTTCAATAGGCACACATACTTAATTTGTGTCACATACAGCTCTTTCTTATAGGTAAAACAGGGGTCTCAAACTCAATTTACCTGGGGGCCTCTGGAGGCAGAGTCTGGGTGAGGTTGGGCCGCATAAGGGATTCCACAAAAAAATGTTAAAAAATATCCTCAAATGTTACTTTCATATCACGGTGGGGGCCACAGGATATCATACTGCGGGCCGCAATTGGCCCATGGGCCGTGAGAATGAGACCTCTGAGGTAAAGGAATCCCAAATGACTCCCATGTTGTTGAATTGTATCTATGTCTAGATTTACATGTCACCTTAAATCATACATTTAATTCAAAAACTACCATAATCCATTATAAGACCTAGTTGCCTTTTGGCTTAGTATATGAACCCATGATTACTTTGTAATACATCAGAGGTGGTATTCAGCAGGTTCTGACCAGTTCTGGAGAACCGGTAGCAGAAATTTTGAGTAGTTTGGAGAACTGGTAGGGAAAATTTTTAGTAGTTTGGAGAACCAGTAAATACCACTCTGACTGGCCTATATTCTTTGTTTCCTGAGTCCCAGCTGATTGGCTGGATCTTCTTTTGTTGCCTTGCAAAGGAGAACAGAACTGGAAAGCAGGTTAGTGGGGTGAGATTTTTCAGTAACGCCCACAGAACTGGTAGTAAAAATGTTTGAATCCCACCACTATAACACATGGCTTAAGTTATATGCAATCTGTTTTTAGCTTACTCAGCCAACTGTCATTAAAACAGTTGCTAATCAATGTATGAACTAAGTCATTGTGTAGCTTGTTTATTTGTAGCATAGCATTTGTGGCATCCATTGTTCTTAAAACATCTTTTAAACTTAAGAATGTGTCCCCAAAAAGTTTTGGTTTATTCAATAAATCATAGTTAACAAAACTGCATTAGCATAAATGTGAGTAATGGAGATATTGGGGAAAGTCATAGCATGGAAGGTAAACTGTCATTTTTCTAGTTTAGGGAGGGGATTTAAGATGAGACCCCCCTCTCCTTTACATTGGTAGATCCCTTAATTGATGTCCATGAAACTATTTTTAACAGTGATTGAACTCAAAAGAAACTGTGATAATTTTTTAAAAATAAACCTTGATTCATTCCACATGTCTATTTATACAATGCAATTAAAAAAAACTTCAAGTGACTCTGTTTAATATACATCAAAATGTTAAATTAGAACACCCAGATCTGAGTTGCATAAATCCTGATGGCCATTAAGAGACACGAGAAGTAACTGTTTTCTGCTTTAGAAATCATGGGGAGTTTTGCAGCCTAGGCTTTAACTACCGGAAACATTGAGTAAAGGGTGCAACTTCACAGGCCAATCCTTCCACCCTCCCTTTAACCTTTTGGAAGTCTGTGAAAACGTGGTTCTTCAGCAACCTTGGGGATCTAATGGGGAGTCTGCGCAGTGGTTGTATTATGTTTTGATGAGTGTCTCCCACAATCTCTTTTAAAGTGTTTTCATAGTTGTGATTTTGTTTTAACTAAAGGTTTGTATCAGT